GACCCCGCTCCCCATGTGGGCGGGGTCGATTCGGGTTCGATTCAAACTTGTGGCCCTTTGCTGCATGTCATGCCCCCTCTCTCAGACTTTTCCTGTCTATCTGGCTGTCTTGTCAATAACCATAAAACTCCCCCCCAAAAAATAAAGAACCCTCTCCTCGAAGGGTAAGGAACTCCCAGACCCCCTAATGTCCACAATTTGTGGACATTTTCAGTTACTCTTCTTCTTATTTGAGTTAGCTGCTAACTGCTTCTAGCTGCTTTTTGAATCTCCCAACACTGGGTAACACACAGAACACATTGTCAAAACATCACACCCATGCCATTTTGCCGGCTCACACTTTTTACACAAACATCAATTCAGCCCTGTTGCTACCCAAAGGTGAGACAACTCTGTCCCCACATTCTGCAATCGTACCTTTTATACAAAATGGCAAGGCGGAATAAAGGCACTTTAGTGTCTATTTCATTCTCACTGCTCTCTACAGCAGGCAGTTGTTCAGCTTTAAAAAACAGAACTGTAACCACAGTTAAAAGAGAGTAACTATGTAACTTACATTCATTAAGTGGCCTGAAGCAAGACTCTCAATCAATGCTAATGTGTCTTTGGATGCATAGATAACTGTTTGCCACCAGGTTTGCTGTATTAACTCAAGAATAATATGTCAATGTTGTGTTCAGGGCTTGTTGCACTGCCCCCAAGTGGCCAAAAATATCAGTTCATGTACAGATACTAAGATACAGCATGTTGTATTCGCTCCTCTGTAGATTGTCTTCAATTCTGTTCAGGCAGAGGTACAAGTTTGGCCAACATGAGCTAAAAGTAAGCAGCAAACTTGCACCAGGAACAACAGGGATCATATTTAAGATTCAGGAAGTCTGTTAATGTGCTTCAAATCAAGTTAGCGAAAACACATTGCTCGACTGTCTTTAAAGGCACATAAAAACAACGCCATCCTTGTTGAGCCTAAAACCAGCGAGGCTCCACTGAATGTAGCGTGTTCTGGAAAATTCAAAGTGGTGTGACTGAAACATGTGACAGAGTCCTGTGTGTGTGTGTGTGTGTGTGTGTGTGTGTGTGTGTGTGTGTGTATCTGTGTGTATCTGTGTGTATCTGTGTGTGTCTGTGTGTGTATGTGTGTGTGCATTTTGCTTTCTCTCTCTCAGACGGCCGTGGAGGTTTTCCGGAGGATGATCCTGGAGGCAGAGAAGATGGACGGCGGCGTGCAGCCAGGAAAAACGTCCTGCTCCATGATGTAGAGCCGCCCAATCAACACACAGGACACTGCACTGGGATATCCCGTTACTTGAAGGCTAGCTGCCAGTTCTCCTCCACCTCAGCTGACTCCACCCCTCCAGGGTCCTAAATATCCAATACTGTCTATTTATGGCTCTGATTCCACTGTTATTTATCAGTATTTCCGATTCCCTTTTGTCATCCTCGTTTTTCTTTGTGTGTTTGATAAAAAAAAAAAAAAAAAGAAAGGATGAGTGGCGGTTCCCTTGTCTTATATTTCCCACAATCCACCCCTCCTCCATCTCTGTGCTCAGCACTGATGCAAAACACAGAACTTCATTTGGGTGTATCAGAAAAAATGATTTCCTGTGCTCGGTAATAATGACAACCGAGATAGTAGTGGCTTGATGCATCTTAGCTTCTCATTATGCAGCTCCCATATAGGCAACGAGTCCCTCTCTGTTTAAATAACAAGAGATAAGAGAAATGTCATGTCTGCCATGCACACGCTCGGAAAATGGATAAGTAAACACGGACGTTTCTTCTGATACATCACCAGCTGTTTGGTCCCTCCAATATATACAGCTCTTTTTCTACTTCCATCTCCACACAGTACCCACTTCTCTGTCCCCCTCAGTTTGTTTTCATAGCGGTTACTGTCAGCCAAAAAAAAAAAAAAAAGTAAAAAAATCTGCATCCATTTTCTAATGTTGAAAATGTTGTACAAATGTTTTTGATTGTAATCATTAAAGCAAAAAGTGGTTATGTAACGCAGGGCTGAGTGTGGATTATTACTTTGGCAGATCAGTGAGATTTTTGTCACCTGGGAGGCAGGGCAAGGTTATTTTTTTACTAGCTATCTAAGATCATTCATACTGCTTCACAGAAGAGATAAAAAGCTGGTAATAAATACAGCAGGCGCAGAAATTTAAAAGGATAAAATACACTGAGGAGGGCGCAGGCAGGAAGTGCACAGCAGATAATGATCTAAGTTTTTGAGATGCAGTACAAAGAAGGGATGGGTGACATCAGAATCATGTATTTCTGAAGCTTTGTTCCATCTCTGCGTACACTAAATGCTGCCTATCAATGTTATCTTTTAGCAATTAGCATACCACTAAGAGACCTGAGAGAGTTCAGTGTAGTAATACACAACCAGAGATCTGTTTAGCTTCTATATCAATGGTAACATTATAGACAGGCATGTGTTTTAAAGGGCCTTCCTTCAATGTATTTTTTTCTGTTGTGAGTGATCCTGCATAGACACACAATTTTCCTGCTTTGGTTTAAAGGTTTTGTCTGCTCTTCTTACTGGTTTCAACTGGGTGGGGCTCACTTACAAAAAGATAATGTCACATACTTCACAGTGAGGATTTAGCAATATTAAAATCTGAATATCGTGACAGCTGGCGGGTTGTTGGCTCACTGTCAGTCAAATCTGGCTGAACCACACCCTCACAGACTTGGGGCACGTTCAATCTGAAAATGGTGTGCACTGCTTTACTAAGCTTTCCAGGTTGAACGACTTGTCTCCTGTGCAGTGGGTTTTGAGGTGCGCTTGTGTGTCATGAGTGTATCCAATCAGCAGTGACATGTAAACCAAATTCTGGTAAATCTCTATTTATTGTAGGCCTACATATATTTTTTTTATTTAATGCTTGCTTTGGTAATGTAAACATGTTTCTCATGCCAATAAAGCCCCTTTGAATTGAATTGAATTAAAGCAACACTTACCTTTCTGGAAATTTTACGCTTTTCTTTGTTTAGGTTAAAATGCTATTAATAAGCTGATGGCACACTAAAATGATAAAAACTCATAATTGTACCATTCTCATATGGTTCTAAGAAAACTCCGACCAATCATTGCATTCTGACCGGACGCAATGATTGGCTGAGCATCCTGTCTGTCTTCCTCACGTGGAGGCCTCCGACTGGACTGATGTAACCACTCGCGTAACATGCAGATGCAGCTTCATCCTGAGCTAAAAAGGGACGAGATGGTCGCAGAGTTTCTGCTGGACAGGTATTTTTAGTTTGCCTCTAATGTAACATTGGCTATAACGTTACATATGACAGCACAGCATCCAGTTGCTAACGGTTAGCCTACTGTAGCTTAACGTTGCCTGAGCCTCAGTATTGTCTTCCTTTTTTGTTGCCAGTCACCAGTACTATCTAACGTTAGCGTTTACGTCATATTATAAAACTCATCAGTCATCACTGACCCTGGATAAAACACTCTGGGGTTGCATTTGACTGTGCAAGACAGGTAACGAATGTTTAGTTTGCTTCTAATATAACATATAACGTTATATATGACAACACAACATCCAGTTGCTAATGGCTAACGTTAGCCTACTGTAGTGTAGCCACTGAAACATTAACGTTATCTTCCTTGTGCGTTTCCACTTACTAGTAATGTTAACGCTACTATCTAATGTTAGCACTGTAACCTTATTCTAAAACTCATCAGTCATCACTGACTCCGGTTGAGTTTTAAAACTCCGGGGTTGCGTTTGAATGTCTTGGTTGTAACGTTACACTTGCTCTCCTCTTCTCATGTTACCTTGCCAACACCTACGTCCATCATAGGCGTAATAAGGACGTAATGGAGGAGGATGGGACTTTGGAGGGAGGCGGGAGTTGTGGATGTTCAAATTTTTTCAAGTGCTGTGTGAAATGCAAGAAAGGAAAGAGTAGCTTTAATGGCACAATTTTCATAGGCAGTGCACCTGCATAACACAACAGGGTGTTCAACACATCCCATTTCTGTTTAAAGAATTGTTTTGCTAGTTGCCCAATGAAGCAGGTTAGCAGTTTGTCTCTTAAAGGAACAGTCCACCCCTAAATCATAAATACATATTCTTCCTCTTACCCATAGTGCTATTTATCTATCCAGATTGTTTTAGTGTGAGTTGGAGAAATTGGTCTGCCCTCTCTCAAATATAAAGGAACCAGTTGGCACTTGGCTTGTGGTGCTCAAAGCTAGTAGGAACTTTTTTTTTTTTTCACCGCATACACCTACTAGCTCACCTAGCACCACTGAGCTAGCTTACATTACAGCTCAGCTGAAGAGGACGTCATTAATGCATACATCTCACGCTGTCACCATGAGTTGATGCATGCATCCTTCTGCGCAGTGATATTGTTGACAGGCGTAGTTCAGTACATGAAAATGCTCACAACAAGGTCCGTAGATTATGTTGAGCAACAGGGTTATGATCTCTGAGCAGAGGCATTGCTGTTGAGCACCACAAGCTGAGTGCTGTCTAGTTACATTATATTCAAGAGAAGGCAGACATCTATATGGCTGATATCTCCAACACTCTCACCAAAAAAATCTAGATTGATAAAAAGCACTACATGTAAGAGGAAAAAAGTACTTGTGATTTTGGCATGAAGTATCCCTTTAATGAATCATACCTGAGGACGTTCTTTGAAACTCTGGGGTCAGTTTTGGTCATGAATATTTAATGTTATAGAGTAGTTAGGTCAAAAGTCAGTGCAAAGCCCCGAGAACTGCTGTGATATGCTTTTCTTCATCTCTGATAGCATAGATGTCTAACAGTGGCAGCAGTTTTCTGAATGAGCTCAAGTTATCTGAGCACCTTTTTGAGGTCGCAAGAGAAAAGGCTATTACAATAACCCAACCTGCTGAACATGCAACTCTTGCCTGAACATGAACCCTCTAACTCCTTGTATTTTTCATACTATGCAGACTTTGTTTTTGACTTGATGTGGCTCTCCAAAAGAATGAGAACAGGAACTTTCTTTTTGTGGAAACATTTTTTTATTTATCATGGGAAAAGATTGACGGAGCAGATTTTATAAAAGGTACTGTGGCTTCTTTGAACTCATGCATGTATTCACACCTGGAAGCCCCTTGCAGCAGTCGGCGGGAGTCATTGGGTTTAAGTGCCGTGCTCAAAGATGCTCCGATACATTGTGATATTAAAAGGTGTTGCACATGTCTCCGGTACAGCAGTTGACATCGATGTAGGCGTTCAGCTTCAGCAATTCGCAGTCTTCCAGAGCCATGCATTTCTGGTACTGGCCATCTAAGAAAGTTAAAAAGGAAAAGGTTATTTTGTGGCTGTAGTGCCAATACATTTTGACACCTGATTCCCAAACATCTGACAATCTGTTTAAGTTATTTGACATGCAGCTGACTTTCTAATGTACATTACCTTGCATGATACTGATTTTATACATTTTTAAAAACTTAAACTAATTAATTTACACCACCAATTGTGGCCCTAGCCATCTAATTTTGGTACCACGGTACTCATGCAAATATTTTTCTTCAATAAACTTCCCCTTTAATACTATAATTCATTCATGTACTGAGTCCATGTATTTGTTAATGATACAACACTTTGAGCATGAAGAGAAACTCACTTGGTGCTCTGAGGAATCTCACAGCGGCGCAGGCATCCTTCCCTGGTTTACATGCCTCCACACTGAGCTCACAGGTTCCTCCAGCCGTTTTAGAGACACACCGGTGGCAGTTCAGAGCTTCACCTGAAAACCGGCAAAAACAATATTTCAGTCATTTGTGCTTCTTTCTTGTTGGCCCGTGGGTAGATTATGAGACAGTGGGACCATGGGCACAGATAGGCAAAAGGTCCCACCATCTCTTCTACATAAGGTGCAAGACACACCAACTTCGTGATGGTTTTGCCCATTTTTTTGTTGTTGTTTTGCATCTTTTTGGTCATTTTGTGTCACTTTGCAGTTCCTTTGCATCTCTGTGAGGTCAGTCTCTTTCTGGTTGGTGACATTTTGCAAGGCCAAGGAGGCCCCTGACACTTTGGACCCCTGGTTCTTTGCCCTTTAGGCCCCTTCAGTAACCCAGCCACGTTGTGGTCTGATTAAATTCAAGCCATAATGTGGCCCATGTGTTCTCCGCAGGGAATCTATCTTAGGAAAATGAGCATTTGCAAGTTGTCAGCTTTACTCTGCTTTGATAATTAAGGGGTGCTCAAAGCCACACTGAGCTGTCACAGGTAAGTCAGTTACTTTCACGTCTTGGATATGACTCCTACAATCTGCAAAAGGCAAAGACTGTCTTGGAATTGTGTTTCGTGTTTAGCAATGACTGAGAAAGAAAGCAGACGTCTCTGTTGCACAGCAGCACAGGTTGTGTTTATTCAGTGGAGAATCAGTGACAGACTTACCAGCTGTAAACAGCAGGGCGATGGTTAAGGCCAAGACCAACAACTTCATTGTTCTGTTCAGTGCTGCAGCCTACGAGAGATAAAGCACAGAATTTATTATATAGTATGCACAATACTTGCGGTACTCCAGATTTCAAGACATGTCTCACTGAATAGTGTTTTAATCTAAGTCTATACTTACAGGTGATTGTCTCACAATTTTTTGGAATTGATTTAAAATATATAGTACATAAAAATTCTAGGCAAAAACAGGTGCAATAGCAAAGAATAGTCAGTCTCATATTAATTTTAAATTGATTGTTATATAACATATTTCAACCAAGAACAGAAGGTTAAAAAATTTGACATCTCAAGCAGTTCTATGAGTACCTACCTTGCTGATTCGTCTGTGTCGACTCCTGACAATGACTGAGACGTTTTCATCCCCTCTCCCTCTTTTATGCCCGCTCATACTTTGTCCTGTCATGGTAACGTCCCATTAAGTGGTGTATCTCTGTTAAGTCTATATGCTTAGCGTTTCATTCCCACAGGGTGCACTGTGTTCAGGGGTTACAGTTTCCCAATGCTCAGATTACTGCATTATGCAAGAGCTGTCCACCCTTTGTCCACCACTGTATATAATTTATGAGGCTTTTGCAAATATTAATGTATGCATTTGTCACATACTCAGATAAAGATTTATATTAGCTGGATTTAAACCTTAAGAGGACAAGAGTATATTAGTGGAAAGGTACAGCATGTTTGCTTTGGGTGGATTATGTCCAATATAAGGTTTAATACATTTAGCTAAGTGCTCTTTAACCAGCCTCGTCTCCAGACTCATGAATCAAGTCTATAAAGAAATCTGACATGTACTAGCACTTAAAATGAAACTAATAACAGAGAAGGAAAAACTGGCACTTTCACCAGCAGTAAAACACTTAAAGTAAATGCCTTTAACTATATTTTCTCTAGTGCAGGAGAAATATAACTGACATTTCATTTTACTTGAAGTGGAAATAGACAGGTTTTTTTACTTTAACTCTACATTATCAAGTAAATGCTAAATGCACGGTGTAAAGGCTACAGAATAATAACACCATGGGCATTTAGACTAGTTCCCCATAATGTGGAATTTATACTTCTGCGTTGAATCAACGCCACAGCCTGAAGTGCGCCTCCCCAGAAATGTAACTACACGTCCCGACGATGCAGACCTCCTGTCTATTTCTGTAAGCTGACACCATTTCCCTCAGTGGAATCAAAGCTGTTATTTAGCCTACTTTAATTTCACAGATAAGAAACATTAACAATAAACTGTGAAGACAATAAAGCCTCCACAAAGATATCATTTTTAGTCTTGTGTGTGATTTCTCCTGGCTTCATATGAGCAGAGGAAATCTACGCTCATTGCTAGGCTAATTTATACATTGTAAAATGCCATAGGCTTGTGCTAATAATGTTAGCATGTTGTATTTGTTTGGAAAACGATTTTAGTATAAGACAGTTGTTTTGTCAGTGAACCTTGTGAGCTGTAATGGAGCCAAATTATGTGCCGTTACCTTTGTTAAATGTTGCTGTTGTTCCTGACTTCATATGGGAAGAAAAGATCGCTAGGTGCTAGGCTAGCAGTAGCTCAGTCCGTAGGGACTTGGGTTGGGAACCGGAGGGTCGCCTGCTCGAGTCCCCGTCTGGACCAAAATATGGAGCGTGGACTGGTGGCTGGAGAGGTGCCAGTTCACCTCCTGGGCACTGCCGAGGTGCCCTTGAGCAAGGCACCGAACCCCCCAACCGCTCAGGGCGCCTGACCAAAGGGCAGCCCCCTCACTCTGACATCTCTCCACTTTGTGCATGTATAGATCCTGTTTGTGCATGTGTGTGTCTTTCGGACCTGTGTGTAATTGACAAGCAAGACTGAAAACATTGAATTTCCCCTCAGGGGGATTAATAAAAGTAAATAAACTTAAACTTAATAAACTTAAACTTAAACTTAATTTATACAATGTAAAATGCCATAGGCCTGTGCTAAAAACATTAGCATGTTGTATTTGTGTGGAAAATGTGTCCAGATAAAGACAAGTGCTTTCTCTGTGAATGCTGTGAGTTATAGTGAAGCCGATTTGTGTACTTGTGTTTGAAATTGTCTCTATTAAGCCATGTTTAATGTGTGTTTTGGGTGTGTTTTGAAAAACCATTACAGCATTTCACAGAAACCTCCACCGCCAACTAGTGTTTTGGAGGTGTAACTGCAGAGCGACACAGACACTACGCACAAGTATAAATGCTCACAATGGCATCGGCTACAGCGTAGGGTCTGCTGCACAACTATAATTCCCACTTAAGCCTTGTTTTCACTATTCAGCTCTGTCTGCCACAATCTCCAAGGGAAATGAAGGCTTGATATGGCACTAAGGAACTGCGTCAACCGTTGCACGACCAAAACAGGAAAAGTATGGTACTTATGTTTTGCCCGATAACCAAAGAGAAGTGGCGTAAGGTAGCTGCGACTGTCCCCAGTGCATGCTATTGTGACGGGCCCTAGTGCATGCAGATATTGCCTTTATTTTATTTGGAAGAAGCATATAATTTTGTTACAGATGCTACTGACTATTTTACCAACAACAAAAAAGAAAGAAAAAAACATGACAGAGATGGGTTTACCTTTTTCAAGGGCATGTATTCTGCTTAACTTAAGCCTGTTGTCCTCGTCCGTGGACACTTTTTTGTGCCATCTAGTGGTAGTAAGAGCACAATACACTAATCCATGTAAAAACAAGATGGCAGCCATCTCTGCTAAGTTACATTTAATGATTGAAACGTGTTTATTTCTGATTAATAATGTTTGTAGTTGGGGCGTCAGTAGTGTAGTGGATAGTGCCGGCACCCCATGTACAGAGGCAATGCCTCGCTGCAGCGGTCGCAGGCTCGACTCCAGCTTGCAACCCTTTGCTGCATGTCAACCCCCACTCTCTCTCTCACCCCATTTCACCCTGTCCTGTTCATTAAAAGCTAAAAGCCCAAAAAATAAATAAAAATAAATAAATAATAATGTTTGTAGTTTGATATGGCAACAAATTTGACCAATTTTAGCAACAACAACAGACTAAGACACTGTTACTTAGAAAGGAATCCTTTGAGGACATTGGGACTTTATTATTGGCTCATTTGAAGACAGTGGGGCTTGTTTAGGTTTTCATACTCATCAGGTCCTACTAATCCCAAATAGCTAGGAGAAATCAAAAATGCAAACCAAACATAAGTGCGGGTCTCAAGAGGTAAAAGCAAATATGGCACTGTTTTTAATTTAAAGAGATTTCTTCTTTGAACAGACATATTTCCAAGTTGTCAGTCACTCATTAGGGATTCGTTCTCCACCCAACACCCACTCTCTCCATGGGCCCCCCACCTCATGGGCCCCAGTGCACTGCCTGCACTGTCTATATTTACACCCATGCCAAAGAGTATCAATGTAAGTTCTTTGCAGTTACAAGCACCTGTTATGGAAATAGGGAAATAGGAGTTGGTGGAACAACTGAAGTAACTGGAAAACAAAATCAGTGTTTTTCAGCTCTGAGAAAAACAGAAGGTAATCTGGTTGTCTTTGCAACAGTGGCGGCCTGAAAACACAACCTGCTGTCTGTTTCAACTTTAAAGGTCTAATGTGTAGGATACAGTGGCATCTAGCTGTGAGGTTGCAGATTGCAACCAACTTAAACTTCTCCTGTGTGCCAAGTGTGTTGGAGACCTACAAAACTTGAAAATGTGTAAACACTAATGACCCCTTCTTGAGCCAGCGTTTGGTTTGTCCTTTCTGGGCTACTGTAGAACATGACAGATAAGGACCCGCTCCGTATGTAGACATAAATGACTCATTCTAAGGTAACATCTCTTAGTTTCTGGTGATTCTACACCAATGAAAACATATGAACATTATGTTCCATTTCTGACAATATATACCATTTAATCCTTTACACTTGACCTTTAAGTCCAGTTCAGAACACATACAGTACATGAATGACTGGCTGAAATATGCAGTCTGTTAAAAAGAACTGACGTCTATTTACATTAGGTGCAAAAGTTCATGTGATTCTTAAATCTACACACCCGAGACAAACGTTTTACACTTCTTGCGGCTTCGATTGACTGCTTTAGTGGGTATGTCAAACCTTGTTGAACTTTCTAATCTCTTAAAACCCGCTCAAGTGCAATAAATCATTTCAAATGTGTGCTTTATCTCCCTTCTACGCCACTGTTGATAGAGAAAGAGGGGGGCCTGAAGTTGTACAGTACATTAAAAGCAGGTTTTTATCTGTTTAGTATCCTGCTCCACCTGTCTAACCTTAATACTGGATGTCTTTGATGTTGCAACAGGAGGGAAATTTCCATGGGTCAGGGTTTAAGTAGGTCCAGGTATCCTGCCTGGATCAGCAGCAGAAAAACAACACAGAGTGATCCGAAATTTGGAGCATGACGCTTGCTGTGCTGCCATTAATCTCAGACTGGGCCCACACCTCTTTGTTTCTACATTTTCCCAGTTACTCTATTCCAACTTGTCAGGAGACAGGTTTCTTGTTTGCTCTGGGTCATACATGTCCTTTCACCTCTGCTTTACTTTCCCTTTCTGTTTGTTTTCCCTCTTTGCCTCCCCTTGTCTGGACGCCACCCAAATATTACTCTGCAACCACAACTCAGTGCAACATCACTCCCAAAGCCCAATCATAGCAAAATCCCTCTCACTCTATTGTTTCGCCTCCCCCAGAGCCAAACTCCAATATCAGCAGTGGCACATGTAAGGGAAACTGTCCATGTGGCAAAATGTCTAAACCCCCCATTGTTGTGCTTTTGTTGCCTCTGCCTCGTGATACCACCACACTCTCTGTCGGCCATATATATCTGGGCGTCCAAATTTTTCCACTCTTAGACTGTGTGACTAGTTTGGAACAGCTAACAGTGGAAAATGTCTCAGTACTCAGGAAAGGTGAGTACCACAACAAGGGATGCAGTCACAGCACAGCCTTCCCAAACTTACTCATGTGCATCACACACAAATGTCAATCACAAAGGCATTAATGTAGCTGACTGGTCTGACTTCAGATAGCGCTTTTAGATATGTCTCCGACTGTCCATACAACTATCTGTTAGGAGATACAAATTTTAATCCTCACTGTTGTGGCAAAAAACACAACAGATCGTGTTCTTTGAGGGGAAATGTTTCACTGGGAGGAAGCTGGAGATCTGCAGTGACTGCGACAACTTCCAGGACCGTGGCTTCATGAACAGGGTCAACTCTGTCCGCGTGGAGAGCGGGGCCTTCGTCTGCTTTGACCACCCAGACTTTAAGGGCCAACAGTACATTCTGGAGCACGGAGAGTACCCCGAATTCCAGCGCTGGAATGCCCATAATGATCACATGGGCTCCTGCAGGCCAATCAGGATGGTAAGAGTGTGTGTGTGTGTGTGTGTGTGTGAGAGAGAGAGAGACCCCAGGGACAGACAAATATTTGGTTG